GCATTGTGCAGTTCCTGTGGATCTTCAGCCTGACACAAAATATTAGTCATTAAACAATTGCCTGCATACAATTTCTGAAACTATGGCTCCTTTTCTCTAGACTTTACACACAAAACATGCACACACGCATCTCTTGTAAAAGCAAACACGTTTTTCAAAACAATTTTTACTCATTAAATGGTGCTTTTGCACAAAAATACACCGTATATACAGTCTGTCTGCACAACCGATGAACTTTACAGTTATTAAACTGAACTGAATCAACACTGAACTATACAATCAATACAGACCGTTTCAAAGTAGCTTCACATTCATAAACAAGAAAACAGTGGCTCAATGATGCAAACAAAAATCTATTCTGCTGTAAGGTAGCTCTTAAAAGGACACAAGTCATTATTCAGATGAAATCATTTAATGTAAAACCCATCAATTATAGAATGAGTTGAATTCATCTATAGAGCAGCTAGCGTTTGCCGTTTTGATTTCTAAGTGATCGAATAGATTTACACTATAAAAAAAACAAACAACTACAAACTCTACAAACAACACAACTCGTGTGAGTGTGCACGTGTGTGAGAGTGAGTGTGTGCGTGCGTGTGTGAGTGAGTGTGTGTGTGTGTGTGTGTGTGTGTGTGTGAGAGAGAGAGTGAGTGAGAGTGTATATGAGAGAGCGAGCGTGTGTGTGAGAGAGAGAGCATGTGTGTGTGTGTGTGTGAGAGAGAGAGTGAGTGAGAGTGTGTGTGTGTGTGAGAGTGAGCGTGTGTGCGTGTTTGTGTGAGTGAGTATGATAGTTATTGTGTGAGTGTGTGTGTGAGAGAGAGTGAGAGTGTGTGTGTGAGAGAGTGAGTGTGCGGGCGTGTGAGAGAGTGATGGTGTGTGTGTTAGAGTGTGTGTGTGAGAGAGCGAGTGAGTGAGAGAGTGTGTGTGTGTGAGTGGGAGAGTGAGTGTGTGTGTGAGTGTGAAGAGTGTGTGTGTGAGAGAGAGAGAGTGAGTGAGAGAGTGTGTGTGTGAGA